TGGGACATTGTATTCTTCTGCCTGCTACCAGGAAGTGAATGTCTCTCATTAGGTCCCCAGTGGTAAGGTCCAGGAGTGTTGGGTTGCAGCCGTAAGAGCAAGTCACCAGTAGGAACCCAAGGAGGGCCTTTTAGATACTGCATCTTCTAAGGGGGTCAGTGCTACAGTTGCGAATGTGTAGATGTCACCATCGGAGTTGTTTCCTCAGATGACAAGTTCTTCCACACGTTCCTTCTCAGGTGATTTCATGATGAGCAGAATATGGACTCCTCATCCACGTGAGACTCTTACAAGGATGGACTGGGACTCTGGAGCCCACCAGAGAAAAGGAAGGAGGAGGAACCACTATGAATGGGCATGGTGAAATATGTTTGTCCTTGTACCCATAAACCTCACATCTTCTCATGGTCTTCTTGGCAAGCTCGGTGAATCGGCTTATTTAATAACAGTAGATCAGTTTATTACATCACCCCGCCAATCAGGAGTCAGACTTTGGCTACAAAGACCGGACAATGTATTGTGGTTGCATGCTGAGGATTACGTCAACCACTTTGATTCCCCCCATTTTATGAATTCTCTAACTTTGAGATCGTTGGTTGGATATTGTGCGGGGCTGGCAGGAGGAGGACACACAGCGGTGGTGGTGGCACCTCTTCCAGAGTCACCGCTTTGACTTCTGAAGGGGCCATGTGTTGACCACTAAACACTAGGCCCGTACGAACGACATCAGTCCTACAGATTGTCATGTAATGTCAGAGGGTTTGAAAATGATAATCAATGTCTCAGCAGTCGGTCTGTAGGCCGCTATATACTGAGCTTTGGGTGACGGGAGGAGGTTAGTCTATGTCCTACCATGGCCCTAAAGAGAACTATGAGATAAAAAGGTCACCTCGTACTTCTCTTTTAAGCAAAGCTCAACTAGTGTGATCATTTAGACAAAGGCCTCGGCCAAATGTTATAGCCAATAAACTTTTTTCCTCCCAGAGACCGATACCTGAGACCCAACAGTCCTAGGAGCACACGGCAAACATCTCAGGTGGGTTCCATAGACTTCCACCAAGCCAGTGTACACACTTGTATTTGGTTTCCTCGTTGTCATGTCTCACGCAAGGTTCTCTTGGGTTGGAAGTGAACTTGGTGACCTGGTCTCTTCCATTTCATACAAATTTTATCTCAAAAGTCCTTACAAGATGGACTCACGGGATTCCTATTTGGAAGTTGTACTAATGAGTGGTGTATGTATGAAGAGAACGATGGCGGCCATTGTACAGCAACCGTGACTTAATGCTGGACATAATCTTAATACAGCGAGCGGCTTCTCCTGCTGAACACCAGACGCTGGGCAGAGCTTTTATGGGTAGAGCTTATTCCAAAACGAAATTGTTACTATGGAACATAATGAGGTGAACCCTGTTATTGGGGCGCCGTGTGAAGAGCATCGTACGATGAAGTCCTTCTACTCATAAACTATATATAATCTACAGGGTAGAAGAAGATATGACACCGTCCATCTATAAGGGTATAGACAACATGGACCACACAAGGCTATGAGAAGATTCTCTGGGCTGCAGTTCCTCTGGGCTCCACAAGGTGATGATCTCACCTCTACCCAGACAGGAAGTCTCTATGGTAAAAGGAAGTGATGTCAGGTATAGACAGGAAGTTGGGAAGAAGTAGAGAGGATACATGGTTGCGACTAGTTCCCATCCAGCTACCTTGCTGGAGCTGGCAGTAGAGGAGGTAATGAGATGTTATGTTATATTTTTGCCTTCTTGGTCTATCCCCAACATATGATGGTCCTCTGTGTTGGGTTGGGGGTCGTGATTCGGGGGGGCGGTGGTTTAATTCAGGATTTTGATGAATATTTCTTCATTTTATGTGTTTGAATTAGGAAGAAAGAGGGAAAATGACTATTTCTAATGCTCAATAACACAATCTCAGATACTCGACCAGAAATGTAACCGGCAACGTCTTCTGAGTACTCGGATTTATCGCCCGGATTCACGGGGGGGTCCTTTATCTCCAACCACCTTGGAACTGTCCAGGTCAGTAGCTCTGCCGGAATAGTGATATTCGGAATCTCTCTGCAGAGGTTCCCATTGCTGAGTCTGAGCGGAAGCATATCGGCCCTCGGAAGAGAGAGCGCTGCTTCCTTAAAGGGAAAACAAAGATGAACAATGAGATAGTGAACACCTTTGTTTTCATGCTCCGGGAATGGATTTAACTCATCAAAACTGCAAGGTCAACTCAAGATCGCATTCAGAGAGTCGTACCCCGAGGTTGAGTGTTCTTGGTGTCTCCCGAGGTTGAGTGTTCTTGGTGTCTCCCGAGGTTGAGTGTTCTTGGTGTCTCCCGAGGTTGAGTGTTCTTGGTGTCTCCCGAGGTTGAGTGTTCTTGGTCTCCCGAGGTTGAGTGTTCTTGGTGTCTCCCGAGGTTGAGTGTTCTTGGTGTCTCCCGAGGTTGAGTGTTCTTAGTGTCTCCCGAGGTTGAGTGTTACTGGTGTCTGCCGAGGTTGAGTGTTATTTGTGTCTCCCTAAGTTGAGTGTTATTTGTGTCTCCCGAGGCTGAGTGTTATTGGTGGACCCCGAGGTTGAGTGTTCTTGGTGTCTCCCGAGGTTGAGTGTTCTTGGTGTCTCCCGAGGTTGATGATGTCCCCGTCCTCTGTATTCCCGGGACTCCACCCAGGAAGATCTCACCATCCCTCACCATGAGAGATGTCCCCGTCCTCTGTATTCCCGGGACTCCACCCAGGAAGATCTCACCATCCCCCACCATGATCAGGTCGGTGGGATGTAACATCTAGGACATGAAGGGAGTCATGGAGACAATGTGGGGATCCCACAAGATGATGTTTTCTCTCATTTTCCTGGTGTAGGGTGAAGATCTGATCGATATAAAAATTGAGGTGAAATCAGAAGAGGAGGAGACGTATGTGAGGGATGATCGGCGATATACGGAGGAGGTCGGGATGATGAGGACATTCATAGAGGAGGACACTTCTTCAGAGATCAGCATAGGTAGGTCATACACACTTAATACATTCCTCTGCTCATACTGCTCACTGATTGGTCCAAAGTAGGGCAGGGGCTGGAATATGCCTCCCCAATGACAGCGTCTCCGTTTAATTTACTTTGTCCCCTGAAGCATCTCCTTCACCTCCGTTCACGGAGTCTCCTTCTCCTAATGAGTCAGTACCTGGTGGTCTCCACTTTCCGTCCAGTCTTCATCTTCGTTGGGCTCCCTGTGTCCTCACTCAACTAAGGAAGTGCAATACTTCTTTATAACTTTATTCAGAGTGGAATCCCGAGAGATTCTAAAGTTGATGTTAAAGAAGAGATACAAGAGGAGGATGGAGTGAAGGAGGAGCCAGAGCTTCCAAAAGGACACCAGGAGAACATGGAGTCATCCAACTACAGGAACCCACCAGAGAGATGTCCCCGCCCTCTGTATTCCCGGGATTCCGCACAGGAAGATCACATGTCTGCACATGATCAGGTTGGTGGGACGGACCATCTAGAACATGAAGGTGACCCAACACTCCGACATATGAAGGAGATGGGTGACACCTACAAGATGAGACTTTCTGCCGTTCTGTTGGTTTAGGGTGAAGATCTGATGAAGATGAAAGTTGAGGGTGAAGTAGAAGAGACGTATGTGAGGGATGATCAGCGATATACGGAGGAGGCCGGGATGATGAGGACATCCATAGAGGAGGACACGCCTACAGAGATCAGCATAGGTGGGTCATAAACACTAAACACATTCCTCTGCTCGGTCCAGAGTAGGGCGGGGACTGAAAGCTCACAGTGTTTTAATACAGCCCACCTTGTCCCCCGTCTCCCACTTCATCACTACTCACACCGCCTGCTCCCCAACCATCTTCGGCTTTGAAACCTTTGCACAGAAAGTGATGATGGGTGACGAGTCCGTAGCTCAGTACTGGTGGTCAAGTCTTCATCTTGGGGTCCTCACTGGTTGACCTTTTGATGGGGTTCAGTCCCAGTTTTAGTTCTTTCCGAATTCTGTAGGTGGGACTTATAACCCCCTCATCACTGTCACTTCTATGATAGACAGTTCTCATTGGTTCCCTCACTCTCTGACAAGGGTCTATGAGTGCAGAAGATCCTGAGGACCCATTACTGTGAGGGTGGAAGCGTAACATTCTCAGTAGTCCTCCACCTCAGAAACAACGCTGACTGATGTGGGCGGAGTCCTGGGTGAGGTGAACCAACCCGCTCGTGTCCTCCAATAATCTCTTTCTTTCTATTTGTAGTCCATGGATGGTACGTGGGGAAGATCTCAGAGGAACGTCTCAAGTGGTCTCCAGAAGATGAGGACATCGCACGGTATAGTCCAGGAGAAGACCATAATGTCCATCAGGTGCCCCACAGCGTGGAGGGACCATTGTATTCCTCTAATCCTGAAGAACCTCAGGCTGGGAGGGGCGGGGCCGTCCTTCAGACAAATAGGAAGCTTTCCTGTCCTGAGTGTGGGAAATGTTTTCATTACGAATCCAGTCTTCATATGCATATAAGAAATCACTCGGGTGAGCGGCCGTATTCCTGTACGGAGTGCGGGAAACATTTTCTCTTCAAGTCCAGTCTTCGTGCTCATATGAAAAGTCACAAGGGTCATGTTTCATATTCCTGTACTGAGTGCGGACAATGTTACCCTATAAAATCGCAACTTGTCAGACATCAGAGATCTCACACAGGCGAGAAGCCGTATTCGTGTCCCAAGTGCGGAAAAAGTTTCATCACAAGATCCAATTTAAAGACTCACCAAAGATCCCACACGGGGGAGAAGCCGTATTCCTGACCCGAGTGCCGGACATGTTTGCCGCGGAAATACGAACTTGTCATGCATCTGAGATCTCACACGGGAGAGAAGCCTTATTCCTGCGCTGAGTGTGGGAAGGGTTTTTCAGATAAGGCCAGTCTTAACAAACATCAGAGGATGCACACCGGGGAGAGGCCGTTCTCTTGCTCTGTGTGCGGGAAATGTTTTTCACAGAAGTCTTGTCTTTCCAGGCATCAGAGGACCCACAAAGCCCTCGAGGTGTATTAGGGTTCCTCCTGCAGAAATGTTCTACGTGGGTCATATTTTGCCGTACATCTTCTCAGGTACACTCCACATAAAGGAAATGAGAACTGGAGTCCTCGAGGGATACCTTACAATATTAATGAAAGATCTGAACCTCTATGTGTGACTTCCGCTCCTCTGTACCACAAAGATATTATACGCTCCATATAAAGGTCTTCAGTTGTGTCAGAGAAGAGGCGTGGAGGTTCTCCTGATGATCTACTCATCTGGTAGAAGTCCTACCATACAGGACTGAGTGTCATCACCTGCATTGAACCAATGACAGGGGCACAGAGAACTCCCAAGTCCTATATATTGCAGTGTCCCTATGGAGCACATCCCGCTTCCTGTGGTACAAGCCAATCATTCCTCATGGATCCATCACAGATAAGCCGATATTGGCATCCAGCTTCCGAGGGGTGGCCACTCGCTATGTGGACTGATCAGAAGAAGCTCCAATAGATCCCATGAATGTCTTCCAATAAAAACTCTTTCCACACCAGGAGCCGTCTCATAATCTGTGTATATTTGTATTCTACCAGCAGCTCAGTCGCAAGTCATTGGCAATGGTATGGAATGTGGGGGAAAGGTTGCACTAAACATCACATGCAGGTTCTGTACTGATATCCTCATCAATGGATGAGGATATGGAGGCAGATCTCTACTGATGGGGGTATCCTAAGTAGTCCCGGAAGGGTTTGTAGGGTATCGAAAGATGTGATGTGAAGGTAAAAACCCGACACGTTACGGGTGGGCTCACCATTCCCCTTCATAAGGGCTCATATGAAGCACAATGATACTGGACCGGTAATGGTGGGAAATGAAGATGAACTGATCCCAGCACGGTCAGACATCACAACATATAACTGATTCATGGACATTCCACCATAAGGAGCTCTCACCCGTATCCCCGGTGCTCCATGTTGGTTACAATGGGCTACAGAACACATCACTTCTCAATGTGGTGAAGTCCATCAGATAAACCACATGACTCTCCACCCACCAATGTTCTAAGGTTCAGACAGGTCTAGGAGTGTTGGGTTTCCTCTAAACCTGGGACATTGTCTTCTGCCTGCTACCAGGAAGTGAATGTCTCTCATTAGGTCACCAATGGTAGGTCTGGGAGTGTTGGGTTGCAGCCTTAAGAGCAAGTCACCAACCCTAGGAGGGCATTTTAGATCCAGTATCTCCTAAGGGGTCAGTGCTACGGTTGCGAATGTGTAGATGTCACCATAGGGGTTGTTTGATTCCTCAGATGAGAAGTTCCTCCTCAGGTGATGTCATAATGAGCAGAATATGGACTTCTCATCCACGTGAGACTCTTACAATGATGGTCTTGGACTCTGGAGCCCACTGGAGAAAAGGAAGGAGGAACCACTATGAAGTGAAAATCCTCTAAGTCCAGGACATTGTATTCTTCTGCCTGCTACCAGGACCTAAATGTCTCTCATTAGGTCACCAGTGGTAAGGTCTGGGAGTGTTGGGTTTCTTCTAAGCCAAGGACTTTGTATTCTTCTGCCTGCTACCAGGAAGTGAACGTCTCTCATTAGGTCACCAATGGTAGGTCTGGGAGTGTTGGGTTCTTCTAAGCCCAGGACTTTGTATTCTTCTGCCTGCTACCAGGAAGTGAACGTCTCTCATTAGGTCACCAGTGGTAAGGTCTGGGAGTGTTGGGTTTCTTCTAAGCCCAGGAAGTGAACGTCTCTCATTAGGTCACCAGTGGTAGGTCTGGGAGTGTTGGGTTTCTTCTAAGCCCAGGAAGTGAACGTCTCTCATTAGGTCACCAGTGGTAGGTCTGGGAGTGTTGGGTTTCTTCTAAGCCAAGGACTTTGTATTCTTCTGCCTGCTACCAGGAAGTGAACGCCTCTCATTAGGTCACCAATGGTAGGTCTGGGAACGTTGGGTTGCAGTCACCAGTAGGAACCCTAGGAGGGCCTTTTAGATCCAGCATCTCCTAAGGGGGGTCAGTACTACGGTTGCGAATGCATAGATGTCACCATCGGGGTTGTTTCCTCAGAGAAGTTCCTCCTCAGGTGATGTCATGATGAGCAGAATATGGACTCCTCATCCACGTCAGACTCTTAAAAGGATGGATTAGGATTCTGGAGCCCACCAGAGAAAAGGAAAAAGGAGGAACCACTATGCATTGAAAATCAAGCATGGCTACAAAGCACTGCATGTTGGGTATGGTGGAAAGGAGCCTGGGCCTACATAGTGCACATGTTTGTCCTTGTACCCATGCTCTGTAATTACATGGCTACAAGAGACGCCCATAAACCTCACATCTTCTGATGGTCTTCTTAGTGAGCTCAGTGTACCGGCTTATTCAATAACAGTACAAAGAACGGTTTATTACAATAACCCGAATCAGCCAATCAGGAGCCAGACTGCGGCTACAAAGGGTGGACAAGGTATTGCGGTTGCATGCTGAGGATTACGTCAACCACTTCCATTCCCCCCATTTCATACATTCTCTAACTTTGAGATCATTGGTTGGATATTGTGCGGGGCTGGCAGGAGGAGGACACACAGCGGTGGTGGTGGCACCTCTTCCAGAGTCACCGCTTTGACTTCTGAAGGGGCCATGTGTTGACCACTAAACACTAGGCCCGTACAAAGGACATCAGTCCTACAGATTGTTTGAAAATGATAATCAATGTCTCAGCAGTCGGTCTGTAGGCCGCTATATACTGAGCTTTGGGTGACGGGAGGAGGTTAGTCTATGTCCTACCATGGCCCTAAAGAGAACTATGAGATAAAAAGGTCACCTCGTACTTCTCTTTTAAGCAAAGCTCAACTAGTGTGATAATTTAGACAAAGACCTCGGCCAAATGTTATAGCCAATAAACTGTTTTCCTCCCAGAGACCGATACCTGAGACCCATCAGCCCTAGGAGCACACGGCAAACATCTCAGGTGGGGTCCATAGACTTCCACCAAGCCAATGTACACACTTGTATTTGGTTTCCTCGTTGTCATGTCTCACGCAAGGTTCTCTTGGGTTGGAGGTGAACTTGGTGACCTGATCTCTTCCATTTCATAGACATTTTATCTCAAAGGTCCTTACAAGATGGACTCACGGGATTCTTATTTGGAAGTTGTACTAATGAGTGGTGTATGTATGAAGAGAACGATGGCGGCCAATGTACAGCGACCGTGACTTCATGCTGGACATAATCTTAATACAACGAGCGGCTTCTCCTGCTGAACACCAGACGTTGTCTTCTCCAGGGCGCGTCTTCGATAGTTAGATCTTACTCCAAAATGGAACATATTGAGGGGAACCCTGTTATTGGGGCGCCGTGTGTAGACCATCGTACGATGAAGTCCTTCTACTCATAAACTATATATAATCTACAGGGTGGAAGAAGATATGACACCGTCCATCTATAAGGGTATAGACTACATGGACAACACAAGGCTATGAGAAGATTCTCGGGGCAGCTGTTCCTCTGAGCTCCACAAGGTGATGATCTCACCTCTACCCAGACAGGAAGTCTCTATGGTAAAAGGAAGTGACGTCAGGTACAAACAGGAAGTTGGGCAGAAGTAGAGAGGAGACATTGCTGGAACTGGCAGCAGAGGAGGTAATAAGATATTATGTTATATTTACACCCAGTAACCTCCCTCCCCCGTCATGTCCGTCCCCTTTTTCTCTATCAGTGGTGGGTGAAGCAGCTTGGGTTCCACTTGTGGGAGGGTCAGCAAATATTTTCGAATTGGGAACTTTAATCCGAACCCCATTAAAATCAATCGGAGGCGAATCCTGGAAATCAATTCTGGCAATTTTCAAGGGTAATAGGGAAAGTATTGTCAAACAAAGGGCATGGGTGGGGTGGAGCCGGGGGGGACATATACCTTTTAGTGGGGGGAGGGGTGGAGGTGGACTTATCAGAGACTGGAAGCCCTTTAAAAAGAAGGATCCCCAGATATCTGACCCTCCCGTAAATAAAGTGAGGGGCACAAACCACACCAAAATCCCGTCCAGTGGTGTCAATCCAACGTCAGGTCTTCCAGCGATGTAGATCCACCTCAGTCACAATGAGCCCCGCCCACTGAGAGAAAACGCTCCGACACCGTTTAGTACCGGTGGGTTCTCGCTGAGAATTACATCTACCGGTCAGAAGGTTTTTAGTGATACCCTTTTAACACTAAATTATTTTGCATGGGTCGTGTTCCCCCCGTGCCGGTGCCCGGGAGCCCCAAAGATTGCAATTTGGCCTCGGAGAAGACCATAAACAAAATGGTGACTGTACCATTGTGTGTGTCAGGTTCCTATAAGGTGTCAGGATGTCTCTGTCTATCTCTCCATGGAGGAGTGGGAGTATCTAGAAGGACACCGGGATCTCTACAAGGACGTGGCGATGGAGAATGCCCCGCCCCTCACATCACCGGGTAAGAGGAGAGAGCAGTACGGAGGCTCCGCCTACATCCCCCATCAGCTGATACACACATAGAAACAATGTATGCAGTCAGTGTGTGTGTTTCCTACAGATGGATCCAGTAAGAGGAACCCACCAGAGAGATGTCCCCGCCCCCTGTATTCCCAGGATCCCACCCAGGAAGATCTCACCCTCCCCCACCATGATCAGGTCGGTGGGTAGAATCCAAAGTGATACACTTCTATGTAGACTCAGGTTATTAGTACGCGCATTCTATAGATATTCTCTATCATTCTGTTGGTTTAGCGTGAAGAAGGGATGAAGATAAAAGTTGAGGTTAAAGAAGAAGAGACGTATGGGACGTGTCATCAGCAGACTATGGAGGAGGTCGAGATGAGGGAAGCCATAAAACAAGAGGAACCTTCTCTAGATACCTGACTGAGGACCAAGTACCGGTAGTCAGCCTAGACTTTGAGATTACGTTCCTTTGTATGTTTTAGGTTATCAGTGACCGGGTTTGAGAGATATTTCTGGTAATTTTGTTGGTTTAGAATGAAAAAGGAATGGATATGAAAGTTGAGGTCAAAGAGGAAGAAGAGGAGAGGTATGGGATGAATTATCAGCAGACTATGGAGAAGGTTGAGATGACGACGACAACTAAACAGGAGGAATCTTCCGTAGATATAAGCACAAGTGAGTAATGAACACTGCACTCAGAAATTGTTCTAGTATATGGATTGGACTGATGGTTGAGGATCTGTAGACCTCCACAACATCAGGCGAGAGGATGTCTACATCTTCCCCAAATTTATTGTAAACCAGACATAAGTACGGAGGGTCCACCTAGATCCCCCATCATCTGATACACACATAGAAACAATGTATTCAGTCAGTGTGTGTGTTTCCTACAGATGGATCCAGTAAGAGGAACCCACCAGAGAGATGTCCCCACCCCCTGTATTCCCGGGACCCCACCCAGGAAGATCTCACCATCCCCCACCATGATCAGGTAGATGATGGACAATCTCTGAGGGTTATGAGTTATACACAATTGTATTTGATTATAATGAATCTTTTTATTTTGACTTCAGAGTGGAGACCTCGGGGAGAATGCTGTTAAAGAAGAGATTAAAAAGGAGGATGAGGAGTACGGAGTGGTGACGGAACCTTCTGAAGGACACTCGGAGAGTGGAAACCTCATGAAGAATAATAATGTTAAAGAAGAGTGTAAAGAGGAGGATGAGGAGTACGGTGTGATGGAGATTTCTGAAGCACACAAGGAACTCTACCAGGACGTTATGATGGAGCCACCTAACAGGAACCCACCAGAGCGATGTCCCCGTCCTCTGTATTCCCGGGATCCCACACAGGAAGATCTCACCATCCCCCACCATGATCAGGTCGGTGGATAGGACACTACAGTGACTCCATACGTAATTAAATGAGAAGTATCTCTGTAGTGTCGGGTTATTGGTGGTCACATGACATTATTTTCTCTCCTTCTGTTGGTTTAGCGTGAAGAAGAGGTAGATATAAAAGATGAAGTGAAAGAGGAAGAAGAGGAGACGCATGTGATGGATTATCAGCAGAGTACGGAGGAGGTCGGGATGAGGGCAGAGATGAAACAGGAGGAACCTTCTCTAGATACCATCACAGGTGAGTCATGAACTCTAACTACAGAAACTGATTAGATATATGGAGTGATGATCGAGGATCTGGAGACCTTCATAGATGATCTCAGTGTTCTAATGGAGGACCAGCCGCCCCTCACATCACCGGGTAAGAGGAGAGAGCAGTACGGAGGCTCCACCTACATCCCCCATCATCTGATACACACATAGAAACAATGTATTCAGTCAGTGTGTGTGTTTCCTACAGATGGATCCAGTAAGAGGAACCCACCAGAGAGATGTCCCCGCCCCCTGTATTCCCGGGACCCCACCCAGGAAGATCACACTATGCCTCGCATTGATCAGGTAGGTGGGACTGAACACATACCCCCAAAATGTCTTCTAATTTATAAGATGACCCTTTTCCATGAAATCTCTTGTTCCTTCCTGTGTTCTATCATCTTTAATGTCTTTCAGGTCTTCACCCTAAATCCCAAAGTTGAGGTTAAAGAAGAAGAAGAGAAGACAATTGTCTATGGAGATCAGCAATCTATGGAGGAGGGAGGTCCTCTGTGTTCCCGGGATTCCACACAGGAAGATCTCACCATCCCCCACCATGATCAGGTCCGTGTTGAACAATAACTGGTGGTGTGTCTCGGGGATCTGGACGTTATTACAAATCATGTAATTTTTATAACTTTATTCAGAGTGGAATCCCGAGAGATTCTAAAGTTGATGTTAAAGAAGAGATACAAGAGGAGGATGGAGTGAAGGAGGAGCCAGAGCTTCCAAAAGGACACCAGGAGAACATGGAGTCATCCAACTACAGGAACCCACCAGAGAGATGTCCCCGCCCTCTGTATTCCCGGGATTCCGCACAGGAAGATCACATGTCTGCACATGATCAGGTTGGTGGGACGGACCATCTAGAACATGAAGGTGACCCAACACTCCGACATATGAAGGAGATGGGTGACACCTACATGATGAGACTTTCTGCCGTTCTGTTGGTTTAGGGTGAAGATCTGATGAAGATGAAAGTTGAGGGTGAAGTAGAAGAGACGTATGTGAGGGATGATCAGCGATATACGGAGGAGGCCGGGATGATGAGGACATCCATAGAGGAGGACACGCCTACAGAGATCAGCATAGGTGGGTCATAAACACTAAACACATTCCTCTGCTCGGTCCAGAGTAGGGCGGGGACTGAAAGCTCACAGTGTTTTAATACAGCCCCCCTTGGCCCCCGTCTCCCACTTCATCACTACTCACACCGCCTGCTCCCCAACCATCTTCGGCTTTGAAACCTTTGCACAGAAAGTGCTGATGGGTGACGAGTCCGTAGCTCAGTACTGGTGGTCAAGTCTTCATCTTGGGGTCCTCACTGGTTGACCTTTTGATGGGGTTCAGTCCCAGTTTTAGTTCTTTCCGAATTCTGTAGGTGGGACTTATAACCCCCTCATCACTGTCACTTCTATGATAGACAGTTCTCATTGGTTCCCTCACTCTCTGACAAGGGTCTATGAGTGCAGAAGATCCTGAGGACCCATTAACGTGAGGGTGGAAGCGTAACATTCTCAGTAGTCCTCCACCTCAGAAGCAAAGCTGACTGATATGGGTGGAGTCCTGGGTAAGGCGAACCAACCCGCTCGTGTCCTCCAATAATCTCTTTCTTTCTATTTGTAGTCCATGGACGGGACGTCGTGAAGATCTCGGAGGATTGTATCATGTTGTCTTCAGAAGATGAGGACATCACACAGTATGGTCCAGGAGAAGACCATAATGTCCATCAGGGGCCCCACAGTGCGGATGGACCATCGTATTCCTCCAATCCTGAGGGTCCTCAGACCGGGAGGGGCGGAGCCGCCCTTCCAACAGATAGGAGGTTTTTCTGTCCTGAGTGCGGGAAATATTTTAGTCTGAAGTCCAGTCTTAACGAGCACATGAGATGCCACACTGGTTCTCTTTCATATTTCTGTACGGAGTGCGGACGGCGTTATGCCACGTTACTGCAACTCGTCACGCATGAGAAAGTTCACCGAGGTGAGAAGCCGTATTCATGTCCTACGTGTGGGAGATGTTTCTTCACAAAATCAGATTTGGACATTCACCAATGCCTTAACACAGTGGATAAACCATTTTCCTGCCCTCAGTGCGGGAAAGGTTTTTCACGGAAGTACAGTCTTAAGATACATCGAAGATCTCACACAGGCCAGAAAACGTATACCTGCTCGGAGTGCGGGAAGTGTTATTTACGGAAAACTAACTTTATTAAACATCAAAAATTTCATACAGGTGAGATCCCTCAGAGTTGAGAAGCCGTATTTCTGCCTTAAGTGTGGGAAATGTTTCTTTACAAAACTTGGAGATTTACCAATGTTCTCACACAGAGGAGAAGCCGTATTTTTGTCCTGAGTGTGGGAAAGGTTTTTCGCAGAAGTTTAATCTTGCTATATATCAAAGTATTCATATGGGTGAAAAGCCCTGTCCTCTGTGTGGGGAATGTTATTCACAGATTACTGAACTTCTTATACATCAAAGATCCAACACGGGGGGGAGCCATTTTCCTGACCTCCGTGTGGGAAAGGTTTTTTACAGAAGTTCTGTCTTGCTAAACATCAGAGAACACACACAACCCCCTGAAGTATCAATGTACCTAGTGCAGTGGTCATGTTTTATGTTGCCTCACATCAGAGATCTTCTCCAAACCATCTATGGATGATACCACTATGAACACTGAGCTTTGTGACCATAAAAACTCGAATCCGTTTCTCCTAATCACTAATACAACAGGGATTCAGTGCCATGAAGTTCACCACAGACTTTGCTTTAGCCCAACTTAGACGTTAGAAGATGTCTCTTATAATGTTGGGTCTCTAGCCACCTCTATGAAAGGTAGGACATTCTCTGCAGCCTTTGCATGAGCTTCCTTCAAAGCCTTTGAGGAACATCACCTGCCCCACGAGCCTCCTGTTAGGCTTTTACTGTGTTGGTTATAGCAGGACCATCAGATGGCTGAGCAGGAAGAGCCAGTGCCAGGTACAGAAGACTCCTCCAAGGGTTTGGATCCACCACAGAGCTCATTGTGGAGTCCACTACTCCAGGACACGTTCCTGATGGCCGAGTGTACATAAAACATGCTAATAAACACCCAACCTTGTGTTTGTCTTATTATATGACTCATAGAAATGACCCACCACACACCTTATCTTCTCGTTGGGTGCTGTGGATGGCACTGAGATCACGTAGATAGGCCACCATGGCTTCATATCCAACAGAAGCACCTCCACGGAGGTCCAGTCTCGGTATCACAGTATATTACAACATTTTGGGTCTTCACAGGGTTCCTTCATCAGGGGTGACGTGACCAGTGAGGTCCTGGTGTGTTGTAACGTACGGTGATACCAAGATTGGACATCGGTGGAGGCGTTTCTGTTGGAGATGAAGCCATGGTGTGCTGGTATATGAATGACTCGAGACTTGTCTCCAGAATTCTTCTTAGCCAATAAGAATCATGAAGATAAACGTAGAGTGAGAGTCATTCCTAAGAAAAGTGAAATGTGGACAATATCGAGAGGGACTCCTAGAAGAAGGTCACATCAAGGGGAGATAAGAGACCTTGGTCCCTATGAACAGCCGTGTATTGTATGGAGAGTAACACAATTCGGCTCCCATAGACTTCAATGGGGTTCAGACGGGGTTGTGGGTTTCCTGCTAGGAGTTGGGGTTCAAGCGATAGGTTTGGGGGTTGTGGGTTTCCTGCTAGGAGTTGGGGTTCAAGCGATAGGTTTGGGGGTTGTGGGTTTCCTGCTAGGAGTTGGGGTTCAAGCGATAGGTTTGGGGGTTGTGGGTTTCCTGCTAGGAGTTGGGGTTCAAGCGATAGGTTTGGGGGTTGTGGGTTTCCTGCAGGGTTTGGCTTCTATGGGGTTCAGACGATATGTTTGGAAGTTTCCTGCTGGGTTCGGCTTCCATACACTATAATGGGGTTCTAGTGATATGTTTGTGGGTTTCCTCCTGGGTTTGGCTCCTATAGACGTCAGTGGGCTTCAGGTGATAGGTTTGGGGGTTGTGAGTTCCTTTAGGGTTCAGCTCCCATAGACTTCAGTGGGGTTTGGACGATATGTTTGGGGGTTTCCTGCTGGGTTTGCTCCCATCGACTTCATTGGGGTTCAGGCAATAGTTTGGGGGTTTTCCGTTAGGTTGGGCTCCCATACACTTCATTGGGGTTCAAGCGATAGGTTTGGGGGTTGTGGGTTTCTTGCTGGGTTGGGCTCCCATAGACTTCATTGGGGTTCAGGTAATATGTTTAGGGGTTGTGGGTTTCCTGATGGGTTCGGGTGATATGTTTGGGGGTTCGACTCTCTTAGAGTTCAGTTGGGGTTCGGGTGATGTGTTTGTGGGTTTCCAGATGGGCTTGGTTCCCATAAACTTCAGTGGGGTTTGGGTGATATGTTTGGGAGTGGTGGGTTTCCTGCTGGGTTCGGCTCCCATAGACTTCAGTGGGGTTCGGACGATATGTTTGGCGGTTGTAGGTTTCCTGGTTGATTTTGGTCCTCCAGAGAGATGTCCCCGCCCTCTGTATTCCCGGGATTCCGCACGGGAAGATCACATGTCTGCACATGATCAGGTTGGTGGGACGGACCATCTAGAACATGAAGGTGACCCAACACTCCGACATATGAAGGAGATGGGTGACACCTACATGATGAGACTTTCTGCCGTTCTGTTGGTTTAGGGTGAAGATCTGATGAAGATGAAAGTTGAGGGTGAAGTAGAAGAGACGTATGTGAGGGATGATCAGCGATATACGGAGGAGGCCGGGATGATGAGGACATCCATAGAGGAGGACACGCCTACAGAGATCAGCATAGGTGGGTCATAAACACTAAACACATTCCTCTGCTCGGTCCAGAGTAGGGCGGGGACTGAAAGCTCACAGTGTTTTAATACAGCCCACCTTGTCCCCCGTCTCCCACTTCATCACTACTCACACCGCCTGCTCCCCAACCATCTTCGGCTTTGAAACCTTTGCACAGAAAGTGATGATGGGTGACGAGTCCGTAGCTCAGTACTGGTGGTCAAGTCTTCATCTTGGGGTCCTCACTGGTTGACCTTTTGATGGGGTTCAGTCCCAGTTTTAGTTCTTTCCGAATTCTGTAGGTGGGACTTATAACCCCCTCATCACTGTCACTTCTATGATAGACAGTTCTCATTGGTTCCCTCACTCTCTGACAAGGGTCTATGAGTGCAGAAGATCCTGAGGACCCATTACTGTGAGGGTGGAAGCGTAACATTCTCAGTAGTCCTCCACCTCAGAAGCAAAGCTGACTGATATGGGTGGAGTCCTGGGTAAGGCGAACCAACCCGCTCGTGTCCTCCAATAATCTCTTTCTTTCTATTTGTAGTCCATGGACGGGACGTCGTGAAGATCTCGGAGGATTGTATCATGTTGTCTTCAGAAGATGAGGACATCACACAGTATGGTCCAGGAGAAGACCATAATGTCCATCAGGGGCCCCACAGTGCGGATGGACCATCGTATTCCTCCAATCCTGAGGGTCCTCAGACCGGGAGGGGCGGAGCCGCCCTTCCAACAGATAGGAGGTTTTTCTGTCCTGAGTGCGGGAAATATTTTAGTCTGAAGTCCAGTCTTAACGAGCACATGAGATGCCACACTGGTTCTCTTTCATATTTCTGTACGGAGTGCGGACGGCGTTATGCCACGTTACTGCAACTCGTCACGCATGAGAAAGTTCACCGAGGTGAGAAGCCGTATTCATGTCCTACGTGTGGGAGATGTTTCTTCACAAAATCAGATTTGGACATTCACCAATGCCTTAACACAGTGGATAAACCATTTTCCTGCCCTCAGTGCGGGAAAGGTTTTTCACGGAAGTACAGTCTTAAGATACATCGAAGATCTCACACAGGCCAGAAAACGTATACCTGCTCGGAGTGCGGGAAGTGTTATTTACGGAAAACTAACTTTATTAAACATCAAAAATTTCATACAGGTGAGATCCCTCAGAGTTGAGAAGCCGTATTTCTGCCTTAAGTGTGGGAAATGTTTCTTTACAAAACTTGGAGATTTACCAATGTTCTCACACAGAGGAGAAGCCGTATTTTTGTCCTGAGTGTGGGAAAGGTTTTTCGCAGAAGTTTAATCTTGCTATATATCAAAGTATTCATATGGGTGAAAAGCCCTGTCCTCTGTGTGGGGAATGTTATTCACAGATTACTGAACTTCTTATACATCAAAGATCCAACACGGGGGGGAGCCATTTTCCTGACCTCCGTGTGGGAAAGGTTTTTTACAGAAGTTCTGTCTTGCTAAACATCAGAGAACACACACAACCCCCTGAAGTATCAATGTACCTAGTGCAGTGGTCATGTTTTATGTTGCCTCACATCAGAGATCTTCTCCAAACCATCTATGGATGATACCACTATGAACACTGAGCTTTGTGACCATAAAAACTCGAATCCGTTTCTCCTAATCACTAATACAACAGGGATTCAGTGCCATGAAGTTCACCACAGACTTTGCTTTAGCCCAACTTAGACGTTAGAAGATGTCTCTTATAATGTTGGGTCTCTAGCCACCTCTATGAAAGGTAGGACATTCTCTGCAGCCTTTGCATGAGCTTCCTTCAAAGCCTTTGAGGAACATCACCTGCCCCACGAGCCTCCTGTTAGGCTTTTACTGTGTTGGTTATAGCAGGACCATCAGATGGCTGAGCAGGAAGAGCCAGTGCCAGGTACAGAAGACTCCTCCAAGGGTTTGGATCCACCACAGAGCTCATTGTGGAGTCCACTACTCCAGGACACGTTCCTGATGGCCGAGTGTACATAAAACATGCTAATAAACACCCAACCTTGTGTTTGTCTTATTATATGACTCATAGAAATGACCCACCACACACCTTATCTTCTCGTTGGGTGCTGTGGATGGCACTGAGATCACGTAGATAGGCCACCATGGCTTCATATCCAACAGAAGCACCTCCACGGAGGTCCAGTCTCGGTATCACAGTATATTACAACATTTTGGGTCTTCACAGGGTTCCTTCATCAGGGGTGACGTGACCAGTGAGGTCCTGGTGTGTTGTAACGTACGGTGATACCAAGATTGGACATCGGTGGAGGCGTTTCTGTTGGAGATGAAGCCATGGTGTGCTGGTATATGAATGACTCGAGACTTGTCTCCAGAATTCTTCTTAGCCAATAAGAATCATGAAGATAAACGTAGAGTGAGAGTCATTCCTAAGAAAAGTGAAATGTGGACAATATCGAGAGGGACTCCTAGAAGAAGGTCACATCAAGGGGAGATAAGAGACCTTGGTCCCTATGAACAGCCGTGTATTGTATGGAGAGTAACACAATTCGGCTCCCATAGACTTCAATGGGGTTCAGACGGGGTTGTGGGTTTCCTGCTAGGAGTTGGGGTTCAAGCGATAGGTTTGGGGGTTGTGGGTTTCCTGCTAGGAGTTGGGGTTCAAGCGATAGGTTTGGGGGTTGTGGGTTTCCTGCAGGGTTTGGCTTCTATGGGGTTCAGACGATATGTTTGGAAGTTTCCTGCTGGGTTCGGCTTCCATACACTATAATGGGGTTCTAGTGATATGTTTGTGGGTTTCCTCCTGGGTTTGGCTCCTATAGACGTCAGTGGGCTTCAGGTGATAGGTTTGGGGGTTGTGAGTTCCTTTAGGGTTCAGCTCCCATAGACTTCAGTGGGGTTTGGACGATATGTTTGGGGGTTTCCTGCTGGGTTTGCTCCCATCGACTTCATTGGGGTTCAGGCAATAGTTTGGGGGTTTTCCGTTAGGTTGGGCTCCCATACACTTCATTGGGGTTCAAGCGATAGGTTTGGGGGTTGTGGGTTTCTTGCTGGGTTGGGCTCCCATAGACTTCATTGGGGTTCAGGTAATATGTTTAGGGGTTGTGGGTTTCCTGATGGGTTCGGGTGATATGTTTGGGGGTTCGACTCTCTTAGAGTTCAGTTGGGGTTCGGGTGATGTGTTTGTGGGTTTCCAGATGGGCTTGGTTCCCATAAACTTCAGTGGGGTTTGGGTGATATGTTTGGGAGTGGTGGGTTTCCTGCTGGGTTCGGCTCCCATAGACTTCAGTGGGGTTCGGACGATATGTTTGGCGGTTGTAGGTTTCCTGGTTGATTTTGGTCCTGTAGACTTCAGTGGGGTTTGGGTGATATGTTTGGAGGTTTCCTGTTAGGTTTGGCTCCTGTAGACTTCATTGGGGCTTGGGTGATATGTTTGGGGGTGGTGGGTTTCCTGCTGGGTTCGGCTCCCATAGACTTCAGTGGGGTTTGGGTGATATGTTTGGAGGTTTCCTGTTTGGTTTGGCTCATATAGATTTAATTGGGGGTTTGGGTGAAATTTTTGGGGGTTGTGGGTTTCCTGCTGGGTTTTGCTCCCATAGACTTCATTGGGGTTTGGGTGATATGTTTGGAGGTTTCCTGTTGGGTTTGGCTCCTGTAGACTACATTGGGGTTCAAGCAATAGGTTTGGGAGTTGTGGGTTTCCTGGTGGGCTCGGATTCTATAGACTTCATTGGGGTTTGGGTGATATGTTTGGGGGTTGTGGGTTTCCTGGTGGGTTTGGGTCCTATAGACTTCAGTGGGGTTTGGGTGATATGTTTGGAGGTTTCCTGCTGGGTCGGCTTCCATAGACTTCATTGGGGTTCCGGTGATATGTTTGGGGGTTGTAAGTCTCCTGCTGTGTTCGGCTTCTATAGACTTCAGTGGGGTTTGGGTGATATGTTTGGAGGTTTCCTGTTGGGTTTGGCTCCTGTAGACTTCATTGGGGTTTGGGTGATATGTTTGGAGGTTTCCTGTTGGGTTTGGCTCCTGTAGACTTCATTGGGGTTTGGGTGATATGTTTGGAGGTTTCCTGTTGGGTTTGGCTTCTATAGACTTCAGTGGGGTTTGGGTGATATGTTTGGAGGTTTCCTGTTGGGTTTGGCTTCTATAGACTTCAGTGGGGTTTGGGTGATATGTTTGGAGGTTTCCTGTTGGGTTTGGCTTCTATAGACTTCAGTGGGGTTTGGGTGAGATGTTTGGAGGTTTCCTGTTGGGTTTGGCTTCTATAGACTTCAGTGGGGTTTGGGTGATATGTTTGGAGGTTTCCTGTTGGGTTTGGCTTCTATAGACTTCAGTGGGGTTTGGGTGATATGTTTGGAGGTTTCCTGTTGGGTTTGGCTCCTATAGACTTCATTGGGGTTTGGGTGATATGTTTGGAGGTTTCCTGTTGGGTTTGGCTCCTGTAGACTTCATTGGGGTTTGGGTGATATGTTGGGGTGTTGTGGGTTTTCTGCTGGGTTTGGCTCCTATAGATTTAATTGGGGTTTGGGTGAAATTTTTGGGGGCTGTGGGTTTCCTGCTGGGTTTGGCTCCTATAGACTTCATTGGGGTTTGGGTGATATGTTTGGGGTTCGCAGGTCTCCCGCTGGGTTTGGCAAACGTCCCATGTACTGAGCTTTGCGTGTTTCACTCATCACTAGTGAGCAGCTTCACTCCTTTAAATCACACGCTTTGTTTCCTCTGGACGTTGCGTTTCCGTAGTCAGGTTTTGCTCCAAAATGTAATTGTCCACGAAGAAAGTCAAACCTGTTATTAGGAGGATCTCTCCCTCTCGGTGGGGTGGAGATGACCCATCTATAAGGATATACAGAACATACACACTATGAGAGGTTTCTCGGGGCTGCAATTCCTCTGAGCTCCACAAGGTGGTGATCTCACCCATACCCAGACAGGAAGTCTCTATGACAGGAAGTGATGTCACGTATAAATAGGAAGTTCTAGCTCTGAGGTGATTTTGGAGAAGACATTGCTGGAACTGGCAGCAGAGGAGGTAAGAAGATATTATTTTCATTGTCCAGCTATTATAACCTATTCTGGAGCTTGTTATCGGGAGGGTGAGTTCCTTCAGGGAAGTGTTCTAATGACTATTTCCTCATTTTATGCATTTTAATTAGGAAGAAAAAGAGGGAAAAGTTACCGTTTGTAGAATTTATTTGTCTATAATTAAGTCAGATGTTCAGAAGAAGGTGTCGGCCGAGTACACAATATCACCCACATACACCGTTGCCTCCTGTATCTCCAACAACCTGGAAATGGAGTAATATCTCATCTGGATCGGTAAACGGGCCGCAATATATAAATTTATTACAGGAACATTTTACGGGGCGGTTTATAGAAGACCGGACTGGATATGTTCCACCCACACCGAGAGAGGACAATACTGAGGGCCGTTCTCCAACACTAAAGCCGGCCATACCTGCTGATTCCTGATCAATTGGTTGAAATTCAGGCTGTGGGGGGCCCTCCAACCCGCGAGGTCTCCAACTGGCTCGCCAAACGTTGTATAAAAGAATCTCTGAGGACATTGCGAAAGGTTGACCGTTCCCCACAGATGGATCATGTGTAATCTAAAGGCTGAGAAAATTCAGTCTTGGGTGAACCCCCTAAGTTTCAGTGTTATTAGTGGTGTCCCCCAAGGTTCAGTGTTGGTGGTGGTGTCCCCCAAGGTTCAGTGTTGTTGGTGGTGTCCCCCAAGGTTCAGTGTTGGTGGTGGTGTCCCCCAAGGTTCAGTGTTGGTGGTGGTGTCCCCCAAGGTTCAGCGTTGTCGGTGGTGTCCCCCAAGGTTCAGTGTTAGTGGTGTCCCCCAAGGTTCAGCGTTGTCGGTGGTGTCCCTATGACATCACACTGACCTCACATCTCCTCCTCCCAATGTCCTTCCATCCAGAGTCACCACATCGTATGACATCACACTGACCGTGAGAATGAGAAAACACATTTAACATGGATAATAAAACTTTTATCTGGTATCCGAGAGTAAGAGGCTCCCCGACCCCAAGAAAGAGAGCAAAAGCTGAGCAGTCCGGACTGCATGTGTCCCCACTACGTTCTTGGATCTACCAGAACCCCTCTATCACCCACCTCGTGACCAACACGACCCAGATCATGACCAACATTTTATGTCTACAGGAGAACAGAAAACACGGGATTGTATCAAGGAGGATGGAGGAGGAGGACCGGAGTCACATGACGGAAAGGATACTGAACCTCACCCTGGAGATCATCTACCTGCTGACCAGAGAGGTGAGGATTGGTAGGTGGGGCGGAGCTTCTACAACATGAAAGAGACTCCGGGAGACCATAGATGGATATTATAAGATATTTTATCTCATGTTCTGGGTTTAGGGGGAGGATGTGACGGATATAAAAATTGAGGTGAAATCAGAAGTAGAAGAGACGTATGTGAGGGATGATCAGCGATATACGGAGGAGGCCGGGATGATGAGGACGTCCATAGAGGAGGCCGGGATGATGAGGACGTCCATAGAGGAGGACACGCCTACAGAGATCAGCACAGGTGACCCAGAATATATTCTTCTCTTATCTCTGATCTGTTACTGTACACTGATTGGTCCAGAGTGGGGCGGAACTGAGTGATATCAGCCAATAATGGGTTGATAATGGTCACCTCCCTGTACTGATATCCGTCCTGGGCTCCACAGATTAGGTTGGTTCCTCTTCCAGAAAATTGACTGCAAGCTCCCTCCGGTGTTGCCTATCACCAGAAGCTTAGGCCTATGGTCACTTGTTCTGTGGTGAAGGGTCAACAAGTCTGAACTCTGATAAACAAGAGCTTCAGAGATCACATGACTCAGTGCCTAGGCTTGTGGTTGAGTGTAGAGCATGCTCCTCCCAGTCCCCATTGGCTTCACCAGTGATGGTGAGCTGGGAGGATGTCCAAAGACCCTTTGACTGAAGAGGGGAGGAGTCCCGGCTGGTTGGGACCTCCTCATAGAACATGTGCTCCCTCAGACCTCCTGATCCAGATGGAATGTTGAGTGAAGTCATCTAACCCTCTCATATCTCTCCATCATGTGTTTCTATGTTTCCAGGACACGCCATGGAGGAACCCTCAAAGGATCGTCTGACTTTATCTCCAGGTTGTAAGATGGAAGATGAGGACATCACAGCAGATTGTGCGGGAGAAGAGACAATGAGCTCAGCTATGGATGGTGGACGTCACAGTGTGGGTAGACCATGGACTCCCTCTGACTCTGAGCGACCTCGTCCTGTGGGGGATGGGGCCGGAATTCAGGCGGAGAAGACATTTTCCTGTCCTGAGTGTGGGAAAGGCTTTTCACGGAAGTCCTATCTTTCTGTACATCAGATCTGGCACACAGGCGAGAAGCCGCATTCCTGCTCTGAGTGCGGGAAATGTTACTCACGGAAATCAGACCTTCTCGTACATAGCAAAATTCACACAGGGGAGAAGCCCTATTCCTGTCCTGAGTGCGGAAAACGTTTTGCACGTAAACCAGATCTCACTGCACACCAAAGGTCTCACACAGGGGAGAAGCCATTTGGCTGCTCTGAGTGTGGGAAAAGCTATGCATGGAGGTCACAGCTTTTGAGACATCTAAGATCTCACACGGGTGAGAAACCGTATTCATGCCCTGAGTGTGGGAAATGTTACCCACTGAAGTCAGAACTGCTCACACATCAAAGATATCACACAGGGGACAGGCCCCATTCCTGTCCTGAGTGCGGAATTAGCTTTTTGTGGAAATCGGAACTTGATAGACATAAAAAGTGTCACACGGGGGAGAAGCCGTATGCCTGCTCTGAGTGCGGAAAATGTTTTCTCCGTAAGTCAGATCTTGGTAAACATCTGAGATCTCACACGGGGGAAAAGCCGTATTCCTGCCCGGAGTGTGGGAAATGTTTTTCAGAGAGGTCCAACCTTTTCAGACATCAGAGATCCCACACAAACCTTGAGGTGTATTAGTGGTCAGAGTCCACACTAGAGGACTGACAATGTCACTGCAGTAGTAGTCTGTGCCGACTGATATCTTCATTGACTTGGAGAGCCCCCTGCTGGAGGAAAGTGGAAAATACGACATCTTCAGATGGAACATCTCAGATTTGAATTATGATTTTCTTTAATTTTACAGTAAAACTCAGAGATGAAGGTTCTCGTTGTTTGTCCTGTATTTGTGGTATGTCCTTATCACAGCGAGACCATCCCGGAGATATCCCCCTTATCACAGCGGGACCATCCCAGAGATCTCCCCCTTATCACAGCGGGACCATCCCGGAGATCTCCTTATCACAGCGGACAATCCCAGAGATCTCCTCCTCATCACAGCGGGACCATCCCGGAGATCTCCTTATCACAGCGGACAATCCCAGAGATCTCCTCCTCATCACAGCGGGACCATCCCGGAGATCTCCTTATCACAGCGGACAATCCCAGAGATCTCCTCCTCATCACAGCGGGACCATCCCGGAGATCTCCTTATCACAGCGGACAATCCCAGAGATCTCCTCCTCATCACAGCGGGACCATCCCGGAGATCTCCTTATCACAGCGGACAATCCCAGAGATCTCCTCCTCATCACAGCGGGACCATCCCGGAGATCTCCTTATCACAGCGGACAATCCCAGAGATCTCCTCCTCATCACAGCGGGACCATCCCGGAGATCTCCTTATCACAGCGGACAATCCCAGAGATCTCCTCCTCATCACAGCGGGACCATCCCGGAGATCTCCTTATCACAGCGGACAATCCCAGAGATCTCCTCCTCATCACAGCGGGACCATCCCGGAGATCTCCTTATCACAGCGGACAATCCCAGAGATCTCCTCCTCATCACAGCGGGACCATCCCGGAGATCTCCTTATCACAGCGGACAATCCCAGAGATCTCCTCCTCATCACAGCGGGACCATCCCGGAGATCTCCTTATCACAGCGGACAATCCCAGAGATCTCCTCCTCATCACAGCGGGACCATCCCGGAGATCTCCTTATCACAGCGGACAATCCCAGAGATCTCCTCCTCATCACAGCGGGACCATCCCGGAGATCTCCTTATCACAGCGGACAATCCCAGAGATCTCCTCCTCATCACAGCGGGACCATCCCGGAGATCTCCTTATCACAGCGGACAATCCCAGAGATCTCCTCCTCATCACAGCGGGACCATCCCGGAGATCTCCTTATCACAGCGGACAATCCCAGAGATCTCCTCCTCATCACAGCGGGACCATCCCGGAGATCTCCTTATCACAGCGGACAATCCCAGAGATCTCCTCCTCATCACAGCGGGACCATCCCGGAGATCTCCTTATCACAGCGGACAATCCCAGAGATCTCCTCCTCATCACAGCGGGACCATCCCGGAGATCTCCTTATCACAGCGGACAATCCCAGAGATCTCCTCCTCATCACAGCGGGACCATCCCGGAGATCTCCTTATCACAGCGGACAATCCCAGAGATCTCCTCCTCATCACAGCGGGACCATCCCGGAGATCTCCTTATCACAGCGGACAATCCCAGAGATCTCCTCCTCATCACAGCGGGACCATCCCGGAGATCTCCTTATCACAGCGGACAATCCCAGAGATCTCCTCCTCATCACAGCGGGACCATCCCGGAGATCTCCTTATCACAGCGGACAATCCCAGAGATCTCCTCCTCATCACAGCGGGACCATCCCGGAGATCTCCTTATCACAGCGGACAATCCCAGAGATCTCCTCCTCATCACAGCGGGACCATCCCGGAGATCTCCTTATCACAGCGGACAATCCCAGAGATCTCCTCCTCATCACAGCGGGACCATCCCGGAGATCTCCTTATCACAGCGGACAATCCCAGAGATCTCCTCCTCATCACAGCGGGACCATCCCGGAGATCTCCTTATCACAGCGGACAATCCCAGAGATCTCCTCCTCATCACAGCGGGACCATCCCGGAGATCTCCTTATCACAGCGGACAATCCCAGAGATCTCCTCCTCATCACAGCGGGACCATCCCGGAGATCTCCTTATCACAGCGGGACCATCCCAGAGATCTCCCCCTTATCACAGCGGGACAATCCCAGAGATCTCCCTTTTATCACAGCGGGACCATCCCAGAGATCTCCTCCTCATCAC